CCCGCTCCTCCCGAGGCGCATCAGCCGCCAGCCGCGGGCGCATGCCCCCCCCCCGCCCTCCGCGCATCAAGGTGTCATCCTGGACGTCAGTCCCGACAACGGCAGTCGGGATGGAGCACCTCGGCTTCCGGGTGACTCTCCCGTCAGACGCGCACACATGCTGACCGGTGCCTGCAAGCTTGGAGCGGGCATGCTGCAGTGCGGATTGACAGTGCGGCTCACGGACCCTCCGCCAATCACTTCGGCACGACGGGCGTGAGCTACGTCTTCATCATGTGTTTGGTCATCTCATGAGGCAGGCTACCATTTCGACTGTTCTCTCTCTCTCTCTCTTTCTCTCTCCCGGCGGCCTTGAAATCAATTGTGAATTCGTAGAAAATGCGCTGCCCAGCTCTACATGGCAGGCTTGGGTGGCACAGGACAATGACGAGGATGAATATGAACTTGCCCAAACAGACACATTCGAGTACGACGAAGATCACAGTGTAGAACTCGTTGAAGCACTACACTCCGCAAATCTATACAGCATGTTGATTTTCTTGGTTCGAGAAGGCCTATCTTTAGCAACGGGCGCCACATTTAATGAAGTGTGCGGCATTCAAGAAACACTCCGCAAGTTCGATGTATTGTATGTATACGCCTATTTGGCCAATTTCCCTGTCTATTCCCTCCCGTCCTTCCCCTCGCCCTCCTTGGATCCACCGTGCCAGCCTTTATGGCGGGTGTGGGACGGTGAGTGCTTCAGGGGGAATTTCAAATTCTCTCAAGTTATTTTTTAGTCACATAGTTCCGTCGTGTATGCTTGTGCCCAACCTGGCAGCACACACTATAATATGAGTCGCTCCTGTCTGTGGTTTGGACGTGATGGGGTCGGAGTTGGGTGGCGGGTATGGCGGGGGGCTCTGTTGTGAGGCCAGCGCCGTCGGAAGGCCCAGCACTGTCTCGGCTAGGCCGAGCGGCTGGAGGATGGTCGAGGTTGGTTGGTGAGGAGGAGGCGGAGGAACACGAGTTCTTGCCGAGAACAGCTTCGTCTGGAAGCAGGCCACGCAGCGCACCATTGACGCTGCCCAGCGCTCGGCATGTGCTGGCACTCGGCCGAGGCCGAGCACTTGGAAGTCTTGCTCCGCAATCGGCATGGACTCTTAGCGGCTTGTTGTGGGCCTTGCTACCGCCTTTTGTGCACACTGCCCGTCTGGAAAGAGGGCGCTCAGCAGGCCGATGAATCAACCGAAGACGGGAGCACAGGCCATTCTGGAAGGAGGAAGAGGAGGTGGAGGTGTACGAGAGAATACGTGGAGGTGGAGGGCACGAGTCCTTCCCGAGCACGGCTTCTTCTGGAAGCCAGCCGCGCACCGCACTATTGACGCTGTCGCGCGCTCGGCATGAGCTGGCACTCGGCCAAGGCCAACCTTTGGAAAGCCGCCAGCCGCTCGCAGCTCCAGAATTTTCCGCAAGACCCTCGGTGAGGGCGACCACGAACTCACAAGCCACGACGTATTATGTACGCTAACACACCGTGCGTGTCGACCGTTGCGAGCGTGTTGAACGCTTTGGCCCTCGGCGAAGCCAGGCACAGTTTCAAGCGATGCCCCTCAGTGAGGGCATCCAGGCACCGATGCAGCAATTTCAATCGATGACCTCCGGTGAGGGCATCCAAAGAGGAGGTGGTGGATGATATGATTGGCGGAGGAGCCAGGCTGAGGATGGATCTTCCACATCAGTCTTTCTTGGCGGTACCCATCAACGAAATGCTAGCGCATCTAAATTCTGCATTTCATTCGCATTGTGGGGGCATCAGGTCAGAAACATATTCAGTAAGGTGAGTGCCAGCATTTGATTGCTTACCAGCTGCCTTCAGGGAGGGCACGAATTGCCCTTGATGATGGCCCTTGCCATGGGAGGGATCGGGGGCAGTTGGGTGGAGGGGGAATAGACAGCATTCACTGCAGGCGCTCGGTTGCTTCCTCTGCAACCCGTTGTGGACCGAGCTCCTTGATGTTGTGGTGCATGTTCCAGCGCAGCGGCGCCCGAGACGATGTATGAGAGGCCCGCTCTTTCTGCCATCAGGTTTGATGCCCGAGACATTGAGAGGGGGAAGTATGGAGGATGGAGGAGATGGGATTCATTGCAAGCGCTCGGCTTCTTCCCTTGCAGCCCGTTGTGGACCGGAGTCTGTTCCAGCGCAGCGGAGCCCAAGACGATGCGTGTACGGGAGGCCACTTCCTTCTGCCGTCAGTCTTGGCTCCGGGAACGCAGGGAGGGGAGGGACTTGGCAGGAAGGCTGTTGGTGGAGGAGGACAGTAGCGTACCGTGCGTGTCGACCGTTGCGAGCGTGTTGACCGCCAAGACCTTCGGCCTCGGCACCGTTTCGATCAAGCTCGATGGGCATTGTTACGTAGGCCCGGATCGAGCTCAGGGCATAAGAGCCAAGGCCCTGTGCACTGTAGGCCTTCGTTAACGGCTACACATGATCTTTAGCAGGGTCGGGTAGATGGGAGGGGTATTGATGAGGGGGGCGAGTCGTCCTTGCCACACCCAGGCGCTGCAGCATACTCTTGAGTCTATGATGCTCACAACTATCTTGCGTATCACACGCGCTGCTGCAGTACCAGGGCCTGACCTGCATTTTATCGAGCGCTGCGCTCCGAGCAGTTCTTTCTTGGATCGCTGCCACCAAGACGCGACGGCTCTCGCACGTCAATGCTTGTCCAACGTAAAAGGAGGAGGAGGAGGCGGAGGAGGAGGAAGATCGCCTGGGACCAGGCACCAAGAGGATCAACATTGTTGGAAATTTCTAGCCATCTCTCAGGCCCCCAGAGGCCCGCAGAGCTCCCGGACCCCCCCGTAGGCCTCTCCGGAGACTCTCTCTTCGCCTGCTGCTCGTCTGGCCGTGCTGCTGCTGCTGCTGCTGCTGCTTCCCCCCAGAGCTCCTCCCGCTTGTCTTCCCGCCTCTGCTGGTGCTTCTGATGATGATGATGATGATGATGATGATGATGATGATGATGATGATGATAATGATAATGATGATGATGATGATGATGATGATGATGATGATGATGATGATGATGATGATGATGATGATGATGATGATGCAGTCAACCGCATAATAATCGGCGGCGAGCCAAGGGGGGAAGGGAGAAGGGGTGAGCCTTTTCAGAAGGCTCTGAAGTCCCCTGGCCTTCAGAAAATTTTTCGAACCTCCCAGAGACACAGAAAACCTCTTAGAAAGCGCGAGGGCTTCTTAGAAGTGCCGCCGCCTGCTGAGAAGGCCTTCTCTTTATTATTTCCCGCCCTCGCTCGCCCCCGAAACAAGGACGCACGATAAGGATGCAAGGGCCTGGGAAGGCCATGTCGACACTTTGCGAGCGGGGCGCGGCTAGCGAACGTGGCCACGGATGGGCCGAAGGGGAAGGATGCAAGGGCAGCCTTGAAAAGTGGCTCACCCTTACTATGCGTGTGACTGTAATGACGATGTCATCGCCATCGTCGTCATAGTCGTCATCTCCTCCTTGAAAAATACGCCGAACCCTTGCACCCCCCCCCAGCCTTTCCTCCTCCGGCTCATCCTTCTCCTCACTCCTGCTGCTGCTCATCCTTCTCCTCTCTCTGGCCTGCTTAGGTGGCCCAAGAGGGGGGAACGTCGGCCACAGCCGTTCCAGGCGCGGCAACACAGGCCACCGTGCCCTACAGGGCGGTGGCACCAGATAGCTGGGGCCACCAACGGGGTTAAGGCGCCCCGCATTGCCAATGGTGACACCCAACGCCATCGGGAGGTCTGGACCAAAGGGTTCCTGAAACATGAGTGAATTAGCTCTGCGCTCAGAAGCCATCCATCCCACTAAGTGGGATAAACGATGTTGTGCCAACTTTGACCCCCGACGCCGGCGGGAGGTCTTGACCAAAAGGGTTCCTGATACATGAGTAAGTCAGCCCTGTGGTCAGAAACCATCTATCCCACTCAGTTGGATAAGCGATGTCGTGCCAACGGTACGACCCGACGCCGGCGATAGGTCTGGGCCAAAGGGTTCCTGAAGCATGAGTAGGTTAGCTCTGTGTTCAGACACCATTTATCCCACCAGATGGGATAATTAAGCGATGTTGTGCGTTGCTAACAGTGACCTCCAACGCAGGCGGCAGGCTTCGATCAAACGATTCTTGAAACATGGGAAGCTCTGTGCTCAGAAACCACACATCCCACGCAGTGGGATAAACGCTGTTGTGCGCTGTCATCGGTGACCCCCCACGCCGTTTTGGCTCAAGCAGAAAAGGTGCTGATTGCCAACGCCCGAACATAACAAAGCGTCGCGGAACGAAGTGTGAATAGTGGTACTCACCAACCCCTCAATGGCGCACCGATTCCGTGAATCGGAGATTGAGGCTTCAGCCTTATGGGCCGCCTGGGCGGGCAAAACGTACCCACCCAGGCACAACATACCCCTTCCCCCCCATCTGGCCTGCTTAGGTGGCCTTGAGTCGGTCACACAGCCGTTGCAGGCGCGGCGCTCCATCTGGCCTTCTTAGGTGGCCCAAGAGAGGAGAGGGGAACGTCGGCCACAACCGCTCCAGGCGCGGCAACACGGGCCACCGTGCCCTACAGGGTGGTGACACCAGGTAGCTGGGCCCACCAACGGGGTTAAGGCGCCCCCAAAGCCATATAACCTCAAGTCCTTCCCCTCCTCCTCCTCCTTCTCCTCTTCCTCCTCCTCCTCTCCCCTCTTCCTCCTCCTCCTCCTCCTCCTCCTCCTCCTCCTCCTCTTCCTCCTCCTCCTCCTCCTCCTCCTCTCTACTGCTGCTGTTCCTTCTCCGCCCTCCTTTCCCGTCCGCTTCGCCCTTCCATCTCTGGGGCGGAGCTGGAAGAGACTCTTCCTGCTGCTCCTCCTTTTCCTCCTCTCCTCCTTCTTCTTTCTTCTTCTTCCTCCTCCTCCTCCTCCTCCTCCTCCTCCTACGTACCCCTCTTCATCCGCCCACCGCAGGGGCGGAGCCGAAACAGAAGGCGTGTCCTTGGTTGTCTTCCTGGTCGTCATCCTGGGGGAGGGGAATCGAGTCGACAGAGGCAGCCACGAATGCAGTCTCACCATTGTTTTGGTTGTCGTCTTCCTCCTCCTCCTCCTCCTCCTCCTCCTCTTCCTCCTCCTCTTCATCCCTCGCCTCCTTCACCCTCTTCCCCAAATACCCAAATACTCACCATCATCCTCCTACTCCGGAGGTATCCGGAAACCTGCAGACCCCACCGAAAGCCCTCGTCGTCGTTCGAAGGATTCCGAACAACTCTGGAATCAGATCCCCATCTTTCCCCGCCGGAACAAGTACAGCACCTCGGGTACACGAAGACCAGCATCAGGAAGAGGCGGCTGCAATGGGCAGCGTAAAACGATTCATACGCTCATGCGTGTGTATACATATATATATATATGTACGTAGACATATATACATATACATATATATATATATGAATGTGTGCACACATATGTCGAACGATAAACAGGGGATACATATATATATAGATAGAGAGGGAACTATGCAAACATAAAAAGGTGTGCGGACATATATATATATATATGTAGATACATAGTTTTGTGTGCATATGTGTATGTATATATACATGCGCACACTAGAACGGCGCGCGCTTCGCGTGCGCTTAGACTCTAGCGCAAACACAACTTAGCTATTCAAGTAGGGATGGATATGGGATCCATCCTGCAGTTGTCATCATGTGGGGGTGGACATCCTCATGGACGCGTCGTGAAATTGTGAATGCTGGGTAAGCGCGCCCCAAACTCCCGTTTGCACTGAGTAGCTACACCGTGCCTGGGTTGTGGGCCAGAGGCTGCCGATATCTCACGCAGGCACGCCCGCCATGCCTCACTCCGCATGCCTGCTGTTCCTTCTCCTCCTCCTCCTACTCCTTCTCCTCCTCCTCGCGGTCCTTCTCCCTCGTCCCTCGTCCCTCCTCCCGCCTCCCTCCTCCCTCCTCCCTCCTCCCTCCTCCTGCTGCTGCTGCTGCTCCTCCTCCTCCGCCTCCTCCTCCTCCTCCGCCTCCTCCTCCTCCTGCTCCTCCTCCTCCTCCTCCTCCAAGCTTCCTCCTCTTCGTCCTCCGTCCCCTCCTCCTGACTCTGCTAGACCACCAGAGGACGTCTGGGAAGTCTCTTGAAGGGTTCTTGCAAGCTCGCCGGGGCTGTCAAAAGGCGGTGTCATCAAAACGCAGTTTTTGATGATACCAGTAGTCTCCTCCTCCTCCTCCTCCTCCTCCTCCCTCCTCCTCCTCCTCCGCCTCCTCCTCCTGCTCCTCCTCCTCCTCCTCCTCCTCCTCCTCCTCCTCCTCCTCGTGGGGGCCTCTGGAGGCTCCCTTGGGTGGCTGGTGGGGCGCCCTGGCGCCTCCTGAGGCTCCCTGGGGGCCTCTTGGGCGCCCCCTGGGGCAGTCTTCGGGGTGTCGTAGGGGCCTGCTCGGGGCCTCAGGGGTGTTTCTGGGAGCTTCTTCGGGCCGCTCGGGGCGATTCAAAGAGAAATCTTCACTTGGGGCTCTTGCCTGAGCCTCAGAAGACGGAGACATCACTGATTTTCCTAAGAGTTTTTCGATGACTTGGGCTTCTCGAGGGCTTCCTTGGGCCTGTCTTGGGCGGTGTTGGGGGCTTCTTTGGGGGCCTCCTTGGCACTCTCTTGTGCGCTTCTTCTTCTTCTTCTTCTTCTTATTATTATTAGTATTATTATTTTTATGATTATTATTATTATTATTATTAGTTTCATCATCATCACCATCATCATCATCATCATCATCATCATTATTATCATTATTATTACTATTCTTAGTATTCTTATTAGTATGATTATCATTATTATTATTAGTACGATTATTACTATCATTATTATTACTATTATTAGTGCGATTATTATCATTACTACTACTATTACTCTTATCATATTATTATTATTATTATTATTATTATTACTACTATTATTATCATTCTTACTACTATTATTATTAGTATTATTATTATTATTATTATTATTATTATTATTATTATTATCATTTTTATCATTATTATTATTAATATTATTATTATTATTATTAACATTATTATTAACATTATTATCACCAGTGCCATCGTTATTCTCGTTATTACGACCAGTATTATGTATTGTGAAAGAGCCAACGGGGCATCAATGAGTTCTGCCTGGGGGAGGAGGCAAAGAGGAGGAGGATGAGGATGAGGATGAGGATGAGGATGAGGATGAGGATGATGATGATGATGATGATGATGAGGAGGAGGAGGAGGAGGAGGAGGAGGAGGAGGAGGAGGAGGAGGAGAGAGGAGGAGGAGGAGGAGGAGGAGGAGGAGGAGGAGGAGCAGGAGGAGGAGGGAGGAGAAAGGCCCTGTTCCGTCGCCGGCGCTCGCCGACGCTCGCCGGCGCCGCGCGCGGGGGGGTGCGCGGCGCCCCCAGACCTCCCACAGGCCACGGCAGGCGCTCCGAGGCGCGGGCCCCGCGGCCCTGCTCGATCTGCCCAGAGAGTGCCCTGCGCTTCCCTGGGGCCGGCGCGCCGTCCGGGGTCGTACCTCGACGGCCCCCCGGGGGCCCGAGCAGGACCGCCCGCGAGGCCGAGCATCACACGGTCAGAGCGTGTCTTGAGGAAGGGTGGTGAGGACGCAAGACGCCCTCTGGGGCCGAAGCCAGGATGCTTTCTGGGAGGCGGGTGACCACAACCCTAGGGGCGCAAGAGGCACCCCAACCCCAGGAGGGGCCAGTGTAAACGGCAAAGGACCGGCCGCAGAGGCAAGGACACAAGGGCACCCTAGATGAAGGCGCGCGTCCTTACTAAGCGCCTTGACTGTAGGAAAGAACGCCCAGTCGGAACGCCCCACGGCGTCGGAGGTCTGGGGTTGTCAGCCAGCATCTAACTTCCACCCTCAAGCCACCAGCACGCAGACGCCGCCTGCCTCCTTGATCTTGACCTCGGCCTCCTTCGTGAAGTAGCGCGCCTTCACGATCAAGGGCTGCTCTGGCAGTTGGCCCTTGCCGCAAACCTTCATGTAGCCCGCCTTCATCACGTCGATCACGGGAGCCTTTCCCTCCTCCCTCCTACGTCCTCCTCCCTCCTCCTTCTCCTCATCCTCCTCCTACAAATTCCCGAGGAGGATCTGCACGGGAACCATTCAACGGTAATGGGATATATGTTTTAACGCCAAACTCGCGAAACGATCTGCTGATGGGTACTTGATCCAAACGGCGTTGGTAACAACAACCGTCCGACCCTAACGTTATGATGAGTTCCTCAACCAGTCGTTAAGCTATGTTATAACACCTCCTCCTCCTCCTCCTCCTTTTTCCTTTCTTCCTCCTCCTCCTCCTCCTCCTCCTCCTCCTCCTCCCCCTCCTCCTCCTCCTCCTCCTCCTCCTCCTCCTCCTCCTCCTCCTCCGCCTTAGTCCTCCCGGCGGAGCCTTGTCCTTCTTTGCCGCGAACTGCTCCCGCGTGCCTTCGGGGACCAGAGACCAGAGCTTGTCCACGTTGATGAGGGGGCACACCTTGCCGTGCTTGATCAGGTGGAAGTTGCGCATGCCCACCTCGGATCGTGTTGCTCCCATTGTACTTAAGGACCACATCCCAGAAAACATCGAACACCCAGGAAGGTGTCGAACCAGTGTCGAACGAGTGTCGCCTCCCAGGGCCCGACACGTGAAAATCATCAAGTTTCGGAACTGTCTTGGTGCTCGAAATTCTTTCTGGTGATCAAAGCTAAAGCCGATTGGAGCATCATAAAACCTCGGAGATAGAAGCAACTGCATAAACATACACTATCGGAGGTCCGCGCGGGTCTCTTGAATCGGCGATGGGCCCCTATCCCTTGCGCGCGGAACGCGCCAAAAACGGCGTTGGAGGCGCCGCCAGTGGGGCCCAACGCCCACCCACGAAACCCGCGCGGGCTTCAAACAGTTTTTTTCGCAACCCGCCCGTGTTGGGTTCTCGGTTTGAATACGTAGAGCACCGTGGTCTCCACTCCTCTCCTCCTCCCCCCTCTTCCTGCCTCCTCCTGCCTGCTCCCTGGGTTGGCTGTGAACTGAACAGCTGTCGCCATTTTCGTCCGCCCCTGGAAGGTCCAGCGGAATCGGGGGGCACGCGCACCCACACGACCTCGCTGCTCCTTGGTTGGCTGCGAACTGCGCGACTGTCGCCACTTTGGTGGGCCCGTGGGAGGTCCAAAGGGGTCGGGGGGGCACGCGGGCCCAGACAAGACCTCGCTGTTCCCTGGGTGGCCGCGACATGCGAGACTGTCGCCACTTTCGTGGGCTCCTGGGAGCTCCGGCGGAGTCAGTGGACACGCGGGCCCAGACGAGACCTCGCTGCTCGTTGGTTGGCTGCGTGCACAATAGTCGGCTTTTTGGTGGGCCCCTGCGAGGTCCAGCGGAACCAGGGGGCACGCGCGCCCAGACGGGAACCTCGCTGCTTGCTCCCTGGAAGGCTGCGAACTGCGCGACTGTTGCCACTTTCGTGTGCTTCTGACAGGTCCAGCGGGGCGGGGGGCACGCGCGCACAGACGAGAACCTCGCTGCTCCCCAAGTAGCTGCGAACTGCGCAATTGTCGCAACTTTCGTGGGCTCGTGGGGGGTCGAGCGAAGTGGTGGGACACGCGGGCCGCGCACCCTGACGAGACTTCGCTGCTCCCTGGGTGGCTCTTTAACTGCGCAACTATCACCACTGTCGCGGGCCCGTCGGCGGTCCAGCGCAGTCGGGGGGCACGCGGACGCACGCGGGACCTCGATGCTCCCTGGCAGGTTGCGAGCTGCGCAACTGTCGCAACTTTCGTGGGCTCCTGGGAGGTCCAGTGGAGTCCGGAGGCGCGCGGGCCCACACGACCCCTGCGAGGTCCAGCGGAGCCGGGGGGCACGCGCACCCAGACGGGACCTCGCTGCTCCTTGGAAGGCTGCGAACTGCGCGACTGTTGCCACTTTCGTGGGCTCCTGGGAGGTCGGGCGGGGTCGGGGGGCACGCGGGCCCAGACGAAACCTCGCTGCTCCCTGGGTGGCTGTTAACTGCGCGACTGTCGCGACTCTCGTGGGCTCCTGGGAGGCCTCGAGGAATCGGGGGCTACGCGCATCCGGACGGGACTTCGCTGCTCCCTGGGAGGGTGGCCTCAGTCAGCACGCGGCGCTGTTGCATCACAGAGCGCAGGGCGCTGGAACGTCTCGTAGCGCATGGCGCTGCCGTTAGTGGTCCACTCCCTCCCTCCTCAGGCCCGTCAACTGCAGCGGCAGCGCGGGCGAACGGAGCAGATGTAGCGCATGGCGCTGTTACTCTCACCAGCGTGTCTCCTCTTCCCTCGCAATCCTCCTTGTCCTCCTCACCCTCTTCCTCCTCCTGCTCTTCCTCCACGTTTGTCCCCCGTTCTATGTTGCGCAGGTGTGCGACGTGCGTGGTCCGACAATGTATCGCCTTCCTGAGTGTTGCGCATGTCGCAGCGTGTTCTTTTGTAGGGAGAGTTCACGTTGGCACTCGCATCACGTGCAGAAAGGTTTTGGGTACGTCTCGGGCAGTTCTCCACCGCGAGGAGGCCGAAGAGGCACCAGGCCTCTGGACAACGGGGAAGGACCAGCACGGCGACGGACTCCCGAAACGGCGGCGTGTCGTTGAGGCTCTTTGTCCGGCGGCGGGGGAGAGGGGAATCGAGAATGAGAAGGCCTTCTCAGAAGGCGGCGGGACTTCTCAGAAGCCCTCGCGCCGCCGGAGGAATCTGCGGTGTCTTCCGGGAAGGCTTCGAAAACTTATCAGAAAGCCGGGGGACTTCCGAGCCTTCTGAGAAGGCATCCTCCTTCTCGCTCCCCCCCGGGGTGCGCCGCCGACCTCCCCTCGCAGACCTTGCCGAAGTAGCCCGGGTGGTACTTGTCGAAATTGATGCGGTGGTGGTGCTGGCCTCCCGCGTTGCCGCACCCGCCTGGGTGCTTGCGGTGCTTCCCGATGCGCCCGCGCCCGGCCGAGATCGCCCCGCGCAGGTGGCGGTTCTTCTTGTAGCGGGTGGTCATCCCTCTGCGGGGCGCCGCTGGCCAGATGCTTGCCCTGTTGCCTCGGCTGGGCCGGCTCGAGCCACGAAGGCCGTGGGGAGGAGGAGGGAGAAGGGAGGACGGATAAGGAATGATGGGGAAGGGAGGGGAAGAAGGAGGAGGAGGAGGAGCAGAAGGAGGAGGAGGAGGAGGAGGAGGAGGAGGAGGAGGAGAGCAGGAGGAGGAGGAGGAGGAGGAGGAGGAGAGGAGCAGCAGGAGGAGGAGGAGCAGCAGGAGGAGAAGGAGGAGGAGGAGGAGCATGAGGAGGAGGAGGAGGAGGAGCAGGAGGAGGAGGAGGAGCAGGGGAAGGGGAGTGGGAAGGTCAGCAGGATGTTTGCCGCTGACCTTCGCGGTTGATGCTTGGGATGGTTGATCGCGGCTGATCATCGAGATGGCTGATCTTCTCTAATTGGGATTGTTTTACGGGTTTTCGCCCGGTTGCCTCCAATCGCCGTCTCTCCTTCCCCTTCTCCTGACGTTGGGCGCGATATCTATCCAGTGGTTCGCGCCAAACCCACCATCTGCCCTGAGGGGGAGGAGGACTCAACAGACGCAACGGTATCTGCTCGCTTACGTCGGGGTAGCGTTAAAAAGAGGAGGAGGAGGAGTAGGAGGAGGTCGGGAACGCGCTAACCTGCGTCACTCCTAATCTGGTTCAAATGAGGGCACGTCGTGAACCCCTGCTGACCGCTCCCAAGCCTGGGTCAGCCAGAGGGGATCAAAGGGGACTGGCAGGCTCCCGCTAGCGCTGACCACCCCCCGGTTGGTTTGCTGGCCACATCTCCGACCTCTGGCGGCCTTTCGGCATGACCCTGGCACCCCCAGAACTCTCTTGCCGAGTCGCTCCTGCTGGGAGGCGCCTGGTGGCCCGATAACTTCCGAAGACGTAACAAATAATAGGGAAACAAAAAATGGCATAAACATAAACACTCGGAGGTCCGCGCGGATTTCTCGGATCGGCGCTGGGGCCCCCCGGCGGCGCCTCCGGCGCCGCCCCTGGCGCGCTCCGCGCGCCAGGGAGGGGTGTCCAGCGCCGATCCGAGAAATCCGCGCGGACCTCCGAGTGTTTATGTTTATGCCATTTTTGTGCCCGCAGTGTCCGCCAGCGGCGAAAGAAGAGCGCCGCCCCCCCTGGGCGTCCTCGCCCTCCTCGACGTCCGCGTCGAAGTGCCTCACGCCGCAGCACGCCACCGCGGCGCCCTCCGCGGCCGCACCCGCCTCGAAGACGTCCTGGCAGGACGCCGGCTGTCCACTTGAAGATACGACGTCGTCGTCGTCGCCGTCGCCGCCGTCGTCGTCGTCGCCGTCATCGTCGTCGCCGCCGTCGTCGTCGTCGCCGTCGTCGTCGTCGTCGTCGTTGTCGTCGT